CATAGGATTTCTTCCATCTGTTTTCACGGGTCGCACATGCACATAAAGGGGTGTCATGTGGTGACATGTTGGGTGACATCTGCTGTTGTGTCACACCATGCCCACTAGTGTGAATGGCATTTTGCATGGCATGGCTGTATATCGATCCATACCAGCTTGTTGCTTAGTCGTCTTAGTCATGTCTGACTCTCCGTGACCCCATGAACCAGAGAATGCCCTGGAAACTCTCACTTTCTTCTCAAAGCTTCTCCTTTTTAATGTCCATGGAGTTTTCTTGGCAAAAATACTGGAGTGGGTTGCCAGTTCCTTCTCCAGGTGGATCACGTTTAGTCTAAACAGGAAAACTAACTCCATATTCCCTGCATATGAATGCACCTTCAGAGATGGAACCATAGTCATGCTTGCCACCCACTGAAATAGCTGGCACTCAGATCATCCAATGAAGCTGAATGTTGGACCAGCAAAAGGAAGTAATTTTTCATATAGTTGCAGAACTAAACTATGGAACTGACTACCACAAGACGTGGTGATTGTTGCTAATGTGAAGAGCTTTTAGACGTATTCAAAAAATTCATGGTGGATAAGATTATCAATAGCTAGTAGCTGTGATCACTATGTTCTACCTCCACTATGTGAGGCTGTGAATACTACTTGCTAGGGATTGCAGGTGGGGAGAGGTCTGTGGCTTTCAGTTCCTGCTCGTGGGCTTTTCAGAAGCATCTAGTTACCTACTGTGAGAACAGAATGCTGGGCTAAATAGGCCTTTTGTCTAAGATGGCTGGGCTCCAGCCCTCATCAGCTGTAGCCAGCATGACCAAAACCAAGAAGGATGGGAGTTATAGTCCAACAGCCCCTGGAAGCTCACAGGTTCTTCACCTCAGCTATAATATGAAAGGTGCTCAAGCAGACTTTCCTTCTCCCTCCCGCCTTTCCTCTTCCAGTTGATGCTCAACATTAAGAACATGGGAAGAGCCGGGTGGATGAGGCCAAGTTCCCATCAATTGCAGCATCCTGTTATTACAGGTGCCACCCAGGTGGCTGTGGGAAACCTGCAGGCAGAACCTGAGCACAAGAGCACCTGGCATTCTGAAGCATTAGTGCCTCCAACCATGGAGGCAGAGAACAGCCATCGTGGATAGTAGCCATTGATAGGCCTTCTCGTCCACAAATTTGTCCATTTCTCCTCTAAAGCCATCCAAGTTGGTTACTATCATTCCCTCCTGTAACTCAGTGACTACTGAGCATGCTCAGTTCTCATGTGGTTTTTGTTTTGCCCCATTAGGCATTTTTATTGTCGTCATATTTCTGCCAATCTTGAATTTCTCCCAAACACATCCCTTCTTCTTCTTCCCCAGTGATCCCCTTCTAATTTAAATCCTCTTGGCACTCACCACCTGAGTTTGCTGTTATGGGAGTGATTATGGCTGTTGGCAAAGAATTATCAAGTAGCATGAGCTGAAAGGTCCTCATCTAGGAAGGTATTCTAATAGTGTTACATGTCTGAATGATGGGGGGGGGGTTGTTTTTAAGAAGCAAAGGTGTAAACACAGGTGAACAAATTAAAACATGTTGTATAACTGAAATGTATTTGATGGTGTGTTTTTTGGCACTGTGTTTTGTCACTGATTATTATCTTCCCCCTTTGCCTATGTCTTTCATCCAAAAGCTCCTTTATCTTTATATCATGTATAAATTAGCATGTTGAAAGTTTTTCTTACTCTGTCTACAAGCTGAGGTGCATCACTCAGACATGGCAATGACATCTAGACGACTCAGGCTGCAATCCTAACACTACCTATGTGGGAGTAAACCTTGCTGAACTCAGTAGGCCTCCTTCTGAGTAGACATGGTCAGGATTGCGATGTAAAAAATATCGTACAGTCTGCTGAATCTAGGCTCTCAAGGTCAGAATCTGGGGGCATCCATGAGTGTCTTACTGCACACTCTTACAATGACTACTCTGAAGTAACTTTCACTGAGTTCAATGGGGCTTACTCCCAAGTAAGTGGGCATTGAACTGCAGACAGGCAGAGCAACTTTACTGATGGATCAAGGGAACATGATCTGAATCTTACAAAGTCTGGTCAGGAATGTTACAGCTGGGTGCACTCACCACACCATTTTCTGCAGATTTTCCCCATATCAGGGTGGGGTGAATGTTGGGGTTTGGTTTCCTTTGGAAACAGTCTGTGGAGGCTTGTTAGCTTTTTGAAATACTTGCGTTTATTTACAAACATACATGGGCAGAGGCCCTGCTTCAACACCCCAACAGCCAAAAACCCACCGACCTGAAACCAGATCTGCAGAGAGAATGGCAGCTCCCCAAATTGCTGCATACCCTCCAACATTTATCTGATGAAAATAAGGACATCCCATTCCATAATGATAATTTTACTATTTATACCCCACACATCTTATTGGGTTGTCCCAGCACTCTGGGAAGCTTCCAACATATACAAAAGCATAATAAAACAATACACATTTTAAAAACTTCTCTATACAGGATTGCATTCAAATGGCTTGGGGATTGGATAACTCCATACCCTCCAACATTTCTCCAATGAAAATAGGGACATTCTGGGATCAAATTAGAAACCGAAACAGCTTCTCTAAATTAGGGCCATCACTGGAAAATAGGGTCTGCTGCTGTCAGCTTATAGAGATCAAATTATTCTCTCTTCACATCTCTCCCTAGAATGGCAGCTTTGCCCTTTCTTTCACACACATCTAGTTTGCTCCTTCCTGATAATGGGGATGGCAGCGGCTGTGAGATCTCTTCCACATCTCCTTCAACCATCAGTGAGCGCTCTGGCCATCTTTGCTTCTAGAGAGAGACAAGTCACCAGAATATTATGGGCTAGCAACACCCTTTCATCAGCTCTGAGAAGAGGCTGGCCAACTGGTGCCGCAGGATAGCTGATAGCTTGACTCATGGAAATCAAAAAGGAAACCACCAGCAATGTTTTTGAAGAAATAATGCTGTGCTTTTTCCTCAATAAAAAATGACAGATTTGATTTACGGTAAGCTGGCCGCTGCCTGCTGAACATTTAGAACACACCCTTTTTTATCTGCCTATCTGGCATGCATATCTTGGAGCTTGCCCAGACATAACGCAAATTATTGTTTGTAGTGTTAATGACACGCTTGTGGTCCTTTTAAATAATCTTCCACTTTGGTCTCGGTGTTCCATGGAGGAATCTATTAGCTTGGGAGTTGCAAAAGTGGATGGGGTTGCCTTGAGGTACACCTTGTGCAACCCATGTCAAGGTAACTCAGGTTAGGTGGCACCATTAAGAATTATTTTGAGTGCAGGAGTCAGTAAACAACTGTAGCTTCTCAGGATGCCATTCTCAGTCAGGATGGGTTGATGAAAACCTATTGCGAGTTTCATAGAAACCAGCATGACCTGACCACACTGTTGCCAGGATGACCTGGGTCAGCCCAACCTAGGGTGAACAAGGTTTTTATATATTATAATGCCATTGGTGCTTTCCAGTGGGCGCGGCAGAATTCCAAGCATTCTAGCCAATGACAAAGCTGCTTTTAATTGTACAAGCTTTCCATTAAATTGTCATTTGCCAGTTTCTGCGTTTCCACACATTCCAGTGTGGCAATCAATTTGAGGGCTAGTGATTTCGGGCTTGTGACTATTTCTGCTCAAAATACGTAGACCAAAAGATCCTCACCGAGGCTGCTGCTTCTGCCTCTTGCTTGGATTGGTTTATGGGTGATCTCACCCGATCAGAAACCATCTATTACGTACTGCTCAAATGACACAGCTGCATTCACTGAATGAGTGGAGGGGAACTGGTATAGTGTTTGCTGGCCTTGCTCTGCATACTCATACATATAGAGAGTTGTTAATTGAATCAGAAAACCAATTAAAACTGAAAGAATTTAATGAAGTTAGAGAGAATGTAACAAATTGGTTGCAATATTTTCAGTTAAATGAAGTATTTAAGAAGGATAAAAAGATAGGATTACCATATGAAATTTCAACTTTTCAGAGAGAAATAATAGAAAATGATACGAAATTAATATCAAAAATGTACAATCTGTTGTTAGAATGGGAAACGAAAGATGAAGAGGTTAAATCAGTTATGATTAAATGGGCACAAGATGTGGGACACAATATCCAGATGGAGGAATGGGAAAAACTATGGAAAAAATGAGATAAAAATTGCAGCATGTGTGGCGATTAAAGAAAACTATATGAAAATGATGTATAGATGGTATCTAAAGGTAAAGGTAAAGGGACCCCTGAACATTAGGTCCAGTAGTGACCGACTCTGGGGTTGTGGCACTCATCTCGCTTTATTGGCCGAGGGAGCCGGCGTACAGCTTCCGAGTCATGTGGCCTGCATGACTAAGCCGCTTCTGGCGAACCAGAGCAGCGCATGGAAACGCCGTTTACCTTCCCTCCGGAGTGGTACCTATTTATCGACTTGCACTTTGACATGCTTTCGAACTGCTAGGTTGGCAGGAGCAGGGATCGAGCAACGATTGGGGGGATTCGAACCCCGACCTTCTGATCAGCACGTCCTAGGCTCTGTGGTTTAACCCACAGCGCCACCCATGTCCCTAGATGGTATCTAACGCCAGTTAAATTAGCAAAAGCATAAAAAATAAAATAAATAGCAAAAATGTACAAAACCAAGGAAAGCAAGTGTTGGAAATGTAAAACAATAGAAGGGACATTTTTCCATGTGTGGTGGGATTGCAAAATCATAAAGAAATATTGGGAAATGATTTATAATGAATTGAAGAAGATGTTTAAAATAACCTTTGTTAAAGAACCAGAAGCTTACCTACAGGAGTGGACTTACCAAAATCACAAAAGAACTTATTTATGTATGCAACTACAGCTGCAAGGACATTATTAGCACAATATTGGAAAGAAGAAGGTGTCCCAACTAAAGAAGATTGGCAAGTTAAATTAATGGAACATGCTGAAATGGCAAAATTGACAATGAAGCTAAGAGGAAGAGACGACAACAAATTTAAGGAAGAATGGAAGATGTTTATTGCATATATACAGAAGCATTGTACACAGGTTAATACATTAGCAGGGTTTTAGGATTACTTGTAATTTTGTATGAATGGATAATAAGTAATTTAAATGGTTCTCAAATTTACAATGGACATGCGGTACGTTGATTAACAATGGAACCAAGGAAGGGACTAGGGGGAAGTCAATTTATTTTGTTTTTATTTTGTATTGTTTCTTAATTGTATTTTTGTTATATTTGGAAAATTAATAAAATGTTTTTAAAAAGGAGTTTCAGTTCAGCCTAACTCAAGAGGAAAAGGTATCAAAAATAGTAGATAAGAGGTGCAATGTACAGAATAGAGAGGGTTTCTGCCTTAAATCTAAACATTCCCCTCTTTTATCCATCCAATGTGTTTTTAACACATGAAATGCAAGATTCCCAACATTCACAAGGCAGCTAAATAGCCTGACACACAAATGACTAAGTCAGGCAGTATCTGCCTACAAGTTCTTGTTTGCTTTCTCTGCTGCTCTGAGAGCGCTGGGCATGTCGGAGGTGCTGAACATTTTCCTTATGCAAAAGTCATAAAACCAGAGAGGAGAATAGCAGAAGATGAGAAGGTATTTGTAAGCATTCTTGCCTGGAGTGTATAAACCACATGGGCGCTCTGCCAATAATGCGTGTAAAACATCACAAAGCACGGGAGAGAGATCTGACATGGAAAGAAATTGCATGGCATTGAGAGCCATCTTCAGCTTGAGGATGTATTCTTCGCCATAATCTTGCTTCACATCAGGCATGAGATTCTCAAGAAGGGTGCGTTCTTCCTTATTCCAGATCTCCGGAGTTCCCTGGATACCTGGAAGACAGAACAAAACACTGCTGAACATCTAGGCTTCATAAAAGGACATCAGGTGTTCTGATGAAAATAAAATAACTAGAAAAAGAGGCATATGGGGTTCCTAAAGGAACTACCCCAGGTGACAGATTGGAACATATGCATGCTAGATTAGGGATGTAATCCGAATCCTGGTACCAGTTTGTTCCATGGACTCAGTGCCCATACCATTTTGCTTCAGTTCTCATTCTGCTATTTTTAATCATTCCCAAGCTGGTCCTTTAGCCTTTTGAAAATAATATTATTGCTTACATTTTTTATGATGACAACTCAATGAGCTGGCAGTTGCCCACTGAAGTATATATCTTGCCTCAGGGTTACTGTCTGTTCAAGTGACAATGAGGAGGTGACGGACACACACATAAAAAATGGAGTTACCGCCCTTTTGTCATTTTTGAATGCATATTATATTTTTGCATGTATTAATAAGCATAAACTGGATGGTAGGAAAAATGACCATTTATTATAATGTCATAATGATCAATGTTCTTATAAAAAATATCTGCATACATCTCACATTTTGATGCACACAAAATACAAATAAAGCTCATTTTTTGGTTACAGTAATAAATTCCACATTAAGATGTAGGACAATGGCAGCCCTTTTTGTGTGTGTTTGGCAAAGTCATGGTGGACAGAAAGGTGAGAGAAATGTTAACGATAAAACAATGGATGTTAATGGTAGTTAATGGCTAAGCTAATTGTCTCAACAGTAAATCAATGAGGCCCAAACTGAAGCAAATACACATTTCAGCAGTGCCCAGTTAGCAGACAGTGAAGATGATGAGAGTAGCTGACTAAATCATATAGGAACAAATGTCCTATTCTAAAAATTCTTAAGAAATACAAACATCTGCAGAAAGTCACTGCGATTAAGGTTCTTCGTGGAATGCCCTTTTAAATGTGTTGTGGGAGGGGAAGGAGTATTGGTTTTCTTTTGTCCTTATTTTTATTATGTATAAATGAGTATATCTATATAATGATTTCTATATATTGTACTTGTATGTTGCGAACCACCCCATCTGTGGATAAAGGGCAGTATACTACTACTACTATTACTACTACTACTACTACTACTACTACTGCTTTGCAAAGAGAGAAGACAAGTGTGCTATGGGCCAGTTTGATGCTCTGTCTGCCTAGAGTGAATTCCACCACTTTCCCTATTCTAGTTCTAATCTCTGAGCGAAACAGATACTGTCCAATCTCCCCCTTGAGATTAGGAAAGTCAGCTGATACAGGGCAAGACTTATTTGTGATATGGACAGATATTCAGCCATTCACAAGAGCCACCAAGGAACAAATGAACCAACTGAAAAAGGCCACAATGACTCACAAATCCATGGGGACTGTGCTTCAGAAATGAATGAACATCTTTTCAATCCATATTATTCTGTGTGTGTGTGTGTGTGTGTGTGTGTGTGTGTGGTCTCAGGAGTTCCCTGGATAGTTGAAGACTAGTTCACTTATTTATAAATGCTATTATAAAGATTTTGTCTGGGAAAGTGATGGCATGCTTGGACTTGATGTGTGTTGGTTTAATTATCCTCTGAGTCATGCACACAGGTTCCAATTTGCCACCTCAAGACAAATGCTTCAAAAACATAATGTGGAATGAAAAGATCTATTTCGGGCAGGACGCAACCATAATAGATCATCCGGCTAACCACATTTCCTTTTGCACATTTTAGTTCACAGGCTATTCAAAGACATCATACCTTGGCAATAAACCTTCTCAAACAAATTACCGTATTTTTCGCTCTATAAGACGCACTTTTTCCCTCCTAAAAAGTAAGGGGAAATGTGTGTGTGTCTTATGGAGCAAATGCAGACTGCACGGCTATCCCAGAAGCCAGAACAGCTAGAGGGAGCGCTCCCTCTAGCTGTTCTAGCTTCTGGCTTAGCCGCGCGAAGCCTCCGCAGGGCACGGGGCCCTTCATGTATGCATCCCAGGCTCTGGTCAGCTCTCCTTTTAAAGAGCCGCGTGGAGCGTGGAGTTGAGCCAGTGCCACTAACTGGACTCATCCACTTCAACCCCGACTGGGCTAGGCGAGCTGGGTAGCACTTCCAGAGACTACCTTCTGCACAGGAACAGGTCAAAGTGCTGTGGACTCACAGCTTAGTGTTGTGAGCACCGGATTCACTCCCACAAGAAGACAGTCGTCACACAGCAGAGTATAGCAGAGTATAGCAGAGCATAAACTACTCGGAGAGCAGCTCTGTAGAATATCTTCATTATTCTATCTACAACTATAATATACAACTATATACAGAGCTAAATGAGGTCTAAACTAAAAAACTGAACTGCACTGAGTGTCTGCAGCTGCTCTTAGCAGCAACCTTATCTATACACACAATCTCTAACACTCAGTCTCTCTCTCTCTCTCCAACACACTGACTGACTGACTGACTGACTGACTGACTGACTGATGTTAGGCTGGAGCGGAATAAGTAGAGAGCAGAACACTGCCCCTCCTCTCTGGAAAATCACCAGACTCATCAGCAGATTCTTGGATATGGGAGGGGTGAAATCTCCTCATCCTCCCCCATTTCATCCGACCATTCAAGAATCTAAGTATAACTGCAATTTACACACACACTCCAAAAGTTGTTCCCTGCTTACAACCTTGGTAACATATCTGCAAGTATCTCTCTCCCCCTTATCTAAGACACTTTTATCACATCATTAAACAGTCACTGCAACCACTCTGTGTCTATCAGGAAAGAGTTAAAACAGAAACCTCAATCTGTAGTACACACGAAATACACATTGTGAATATACAAACAAAAAAGCAGCTTCTAGATAAATCTTCATACACGTTTCTCACTCTCAAATGCAAACTGATATTGTTAATTAGGCAGATTTGAACAAACCATTTTTTTTACTCAAACACATGCTTGCTCCTTCAATCCTGATCCTTTAAACATATTATACATGAACCACTTAAGGTCAGGTAAGGAAATAAATGAAGCATTTGGTGCTACTACTCTCAGCACACTTCATGCCTGGGTTAAAAACCACACCAGAGTTGCTTGTGACTGCAGTCTTGGCGAACTCTTCAGAAAACCTTTTTGCTGGTACACCCTTGGTTGTTCTCTCGGATCTGCACAAAACTTCCTGATCCTCTTGTTTTGGTGCTTCCTCCTCTTTGAGAGAATGGGGAGCTAAAGTATATGAAGCTGCTAAGTCTGAATCTGCGTCACTGACTGAACTGACTGCTAAGTCACTGACTGAACTGACTGCTAAGTCTGAATCTGCGTCACTGAACACTGACTGACTGACTGATGTTAGGCTGGAGCGGAATAAGTAGAGAGCAGAACACTACCCCTCCTCTCTGGAAAATCACCAGACTCATCAGCAGATTCTTGGATATGGGAGGGGTGAAATCTCTAGCGCTCCCTCTAGCTGTTCTAGCTTCTGGCTTAGCCGCGCGAAGCCTCCGCAGGGCACGGGGCCCTTCATGTATGCATCCCAGGCTCTGGTCAGCTCTCCTTTTAAAGAGCTGCGTGGAGCGTGTGTGCGGCTCTTGGGGGCTTTTCCACGAGGGAGAAAGACAGCCCATCAGTGACGGTCTGCCCTTCTCCCTCCTTGGGGAAAAGCCTGCAAGCACCGCACACACGCTCCTTGCAGTTCGTGAACGGGACAGCTGACCAGAGCGTGGGATGCATACAGGCTCTGCTCAGCGCTCCCTTTAAAGATTTTTTTTTTCCTTGCATTCCCCCTCTAAAAACTAGGTGTGTCTTATGGAGCGAAAAATACGGTAGCTGCCTGGTTAGAATCTAATAAGCCCAAGTTGTTTTGGGGTGTCTTCCCTTGACCTCTAGGAAACTGGCATTTATACAAGAAGACAACCCTTTGAGGCCAGCCACCTCTGTGGAAGGGGAAATAAAAGTCTGCCCCTTTTGAGGATGATTGATGAACTCCTAGAAGTGTTGCCCTATGCAACCTATCACTAAGACTCCACCTGGGACCCTAAATAGCGAAGTACAGGCTTTGCACATTCCTGTGGGTGACACTGGTGTTTCTGTGCCATTCATGGTTTTGGCTGACTCCAAGGAGGTCCCCCCCCCCCCATTGTGAGCTAGATAACCAGGTGTACCAGCAACTTACATGTCTTGAAGCCTGATGGATGAAGCACAGATACTTTAATGCCCCATTTGGAGAGCTCTTGCCTCATGACTCCAGAAAACATGGATAGGGCTGCTTTGGATGCACCGTAGGCAGCAAAGCCTGGCATGGGGATACCTCCTATGGGAGCAATAAAAACAGTCTCCTGAGACTGAAGGATTATCACATAGCTCAACGTTAGTTATAGCCTGCATGGAAATTCATATTCATTTTTGTGTACATTGCTCCTAATATACACATTTCTGTACCCAAATTTGCCCAACATATGCATTATTTACAAGCAATTTCACACTAAAATAATATGTTGCTACACATTTTTAAATACACATCCTTTGGTTGGAGAGCTGCAGGGCAAAATTTAGGGGTTGTAAAGGCTAGATAGTCTTCACTTTGTCTCTTGATTTGGGAGGTGTGAAAAGAGGATGGTGAACTTGATAAGCCTTTGGTCAGCTCCAGCAGTTATTTTTTTGGAATGGAGAATGTCTCCAAATTTTAATTCAGAAAGTTGTACCTTTGATTGTTGAAGCTCTGAATGTACTTGTTTGAATGCACACCAGCAGGAAGGCAATAACTCTTCTCTAATTACCTGATTGAAAATTTTCCAAAGAAGCAAGATAGACGGAACGATAAGCGTTTCTGCTTTATTAGCAGCCTATCTCGGTTTTTGTTCTCAGGAGATACGTGCTAAATCCAAGTTATCTCCCTTTAACTTGCTTAGCTACTGTAATTCCAATACTGAGGTCAGATTGACTTCGTTAAACCTCATTGCTATGTACTCCGGTGAGCAGGGACTGCGTATAATGGAACAAAAGGGCAGTGACAAGAATGCACAGAAGGGTAAAGCCAAGCCCTGTTTCTCCTGCAACAGTGACTGTTGTTGCAATTGACACAGATGGAATTGGTGTTGCACAATGGCTATGACCCAATCTATGGTATGGGGAGATGCATGGTCACTGCCAATCCAATCCACGTGTCCCCAGCAATACGTAGTTGACATGAAACCATTGCATTAAGATTTTCCCTAGGGATGGGTTTGCTCTGTTCCCTTCAATTTATTGTTCTAGTGTTCACTCTGTTCTGCAGCACACTCCACCCAAATTCTGGTTTAACTGTGATAAAGTCTTAACACTAATTCCTAGACCAGAACAGGCAATCTGTCACACATCTGCAGATGCTCATATTAATGAAAATAAGATTAAGATGCATTATGTTATGGGAAATCACAAAAATGTGTACATTTTGCAAAATTGCATACAAACGTATGTGTATTATGAGAAATTTGCCCTAACATATTGATGAATTTTCATGGGGGCTTTTTAAAATGATGTGATCTGTTATGGAAATGTGGAGAACTGATTTTAAGGCTGGAAAAATCAGATGCTGAAAGAGACCTACAGTGGCATATTCATTCATGTCTAGTGAAAACTTACACTACTAAAACACTGCAAAAAGGCCAATCTCAGTGTGACTCAATCAACATTCTTTTTTCTTTGTGTTTTAAGGTTATAGCCCTTGTGGACTGATAGATCACCAATCTTGATAAGGGCTTTTTTTTTTTTTCAGCCGGCACTCACCAGAACTCTGTTCCAGCTCCTCTCAGGTGGGCGCCATTGCCATTATAAGAGAGCAGGGGAGGCGTGCATGGTAAGTTCCGGCACCAATTTTTCTAGAAATATAACACTGATCTGGATGCATCTGTACAAACAGTTTGCTTGTTGCTGCAGCAATAACAATTAATACACATAACTTTTGTATTCAATTTTGCCTGATATTCACATTTTTTTGCAAGCCGTTTCTCCAAATATAAACACATCTTTGTATGTTATTTCCACTAAATTATGCATTCCCCCGGATTTTCTCTAATATGCACTTGATGGCAAAATTTGGAGAAGCACAATTTTCAAGGATAGCTGTATTTCTGTTGATGTATTCTTCTGGAAATACATCTTCTGGAAAAATGAGGCAGGTTCCCATTATAATGCAAACCCAACTACATTTTTCATGATCTCTACAAGTACACACATACAACAGGAAGTTAGTCGGTGAGTTTGTGGATATTTTGGTTACATATTTATCAGCTTGTTGTTCCAAATGCTCTTCAGTTGGCTGTTTTCTCATTTTGCAAAACCGAAAGTGATGCTGACACTTTTGACAAACCGGATTTTTTCACCTGCTGAAATTGATGAATACATACGCCATTTGGCTCAGCAATTGGACTCCTGCCATTGCTGGAGATGGAGCCTAAAGCAACAGACAGGAGGCGAAGGAACATTTTTAACAAGTTTCCGATTGCCTCGCTTTACCCTGTCTTCATCAATCCCAACTGTCAGGAAGGAAACCTTGTAGTCTGAAGAGATTCCAACACAAATTTCCTTGGCTCGCGGACAACAGTGCCTCGAGCAAGTCATGTTTCCATTATTTCAAATGTTTAACAGGCCCCCAAAGAGAAGTGAGATTTCTAAAAGATGCATAATGTGCTGTTCCCTATTCTGTAGGAACACATCTCATAATGTTATCTTTTTATGGCTCTGAAACAGGGTCCACTTTTAAGTAATATGTTTGGAAAAATTGCTACATTGTCTTTATTGGACCTGTCAAAAAATTAAAGCTAAGGACAATTAATGTCTTTAACAGTATGTATCAGGGGTACGGACCTCCGGGTTAGCGCCATCGGTGAATGGCGGAGTTCCTCCGATTGGAGGAACTGGCTCCGTGGGAACTGGGTATTCCCGCCGCGGTGAAGGTGGGGACCCGCTAGAAATCCCAGGCGGAGGAAGCCTGGGAACGTGGGGTTCGGCAGGGCACCAGGAGCGCCCCCCCTACTCACCAGGAACCCCATTTTGGGGCCCCGGAGTGAAGTGGGGTGAGCGGCGCGGTGCTGCGAACTGATTGCTACTTTCACGGAGTGAAGCTGCACAGCCATTGCCGGAGAGCGCTGACTTTTTCCTGTGGACAATTGGATTTAAAACAAGTACCCGTGAGTAGAAACGGAAAATTGGATCAAGAAATATCTTAATTTGGCACCGAAGCGGGAAGGTTCAAAACAGGAAGTCCGCCTTCCGCTTTTTGTATATAGACTAAAGCAAAAACCTTGTAAGCTAAAGCCTGGAAAGTCGTTAAAAAAGTCTAAATTTCCTTCATGTATAACTACTGAAACCCCCTTGGAAGCAGGAGAAAAGGGGGGGGGGACTTTGTTTAACCCCTGCAGGAGAGGGAGTGAAGAAAGATAAGTTTCCACCGTCTCTAACCTGGGAACGGGGTGTCAGAGACAGAAATTGTTGCAGAGGTTCATTGACTGTGAATGGAATACTGACAGATAGCTAAAGAAGAGTAATAAACTGATTCCAATGTTGCCTTTTGCATTCTAAAGAAACAAAATATCTGAAAAATGAAAGTAATTTTCCTTTGTTGGACTTGCCTTAAAAAAATGGATACAAATAGAAATTGTCTCCTCTAGAGGGAGCTTGTTAAATTGTTGCTGCAGTCTACTTGAGGACTCTACAGCTGTGAGATTAAGATCGTGGGACCAGTCTTTTTGGACCTTGACTAAATATGAGCTGGGAGGAAGGTTTGGTGCTTGCTTTATGCAAGACAAGTGCCTTGTTGGAACAGATGCATGAGAAGATGGATTTGATGAATGAGAAAATGGACTTGATGACTGTTGTGGATAATAACTGTGGACAAACGGAATATTGATACAGAAACCATTCAGGGACCAACTCAGGAACCTGTACTGACTGGGCAAGTGCAGAAAATAATGGAGGAGGTTGCGGTTGCACCTCAAATAATACAAATGGAGAGACCCGAGGCCCTACAGGAGCATAAGCCGCTGCCTTTGAAGACTGAAGTTGGAGTGGGCCAGGGGGAGTCTGGAGCTGAGGAGGTTCTTAATTTTGGAGAGACCTTGAAATATGCTTTTAAATATTTTTTGGATTACATTGATGACTGTGGGGAGTGGGACTGTGGGGAATGGGCTGGTTTGATGAAGGGAGATGGAGATAATTTTGGGTTGGAATCCCCCAGAGACCTACTCCTCAATGAGAAAGGAAAGAAATTAAGAAAGAGACCAACAAAAGACAAGGAAAAGGGCAAGTATAAACAAGAAGAAGAAGATCTGCAGAAGGGACATGGAAGAGACTTAAGGGCCTCGGACATAAGATTACCAGGTTGATGGACTAGATGGAATGGACAGTAAGGACTGACACGACCCGAGACCAGGAAGAAGAGACGTTGGATGAAGATTGGAAGAAAATTTATAAAGAAATTTTTTTCCCCTAGGGAATTGGCCTAAAACTAAGGAATATTAGGGGAAATGTTGGAATGAAACTATATGACTCTAGTAGAAATGATATCAGGAGCTATGTATAATCGAGTATTAAGCTTTAAGCTCTAAAGTATTTTATAGTAAGATAAGGTTAAATAAATTAAAGTAATTTGAATAACAGAATATGGGGGAAAGATGGAAAGGATTTGTTGAGTTAACTAATAGGTTAAATTGTTAAGATAAATTATTTAATAAAAATTAAGAAAGATGGAAAGAATTTGCTGAAATAACTAACCAAACTAGAATACAAAAAGGGAGGTGTGAGGAGGTCAATGAAACAAGCAAATGGAAGTTAAAGATATGTAATATGGGATTTGTGTCTTTTTTTGTTTCTTTTTTCCCCCTTTATCTTTTTGTTGTATTGTTGCATTGGTTTTTGTGTTTTGCTTTTTTCCCCCTTCTTTTTTATGTATTGTAGTGTTGTTTTTAAATTTTTCCTTTTTTTCTGCAACTTTGAAACTTTAATAAATATTATTTTGGAAAAAAAACAACAGTATGTATCAGGGGTACGGAAGCTCTGACCTGTGCAAAGGTAGATCTAGGAGAGCACGAATGGTGCAATTGTACCGGGTGCAGAGCTTATGGGGCACCACAGGGGATGCAGGAACTATGACATCCAACAGAAGGCGAGAGGCTTACATATAAAAATAGGAACTGCCGAAAACATAGAAAAAACTATCATTTTAAAAAAAAAAGTTGCTAGACCTAAAACTATATACAGTGGTACCTCAGGTTAAGTACTTCATTCGTTCTGGAGGTCCGTACTTAACCTGAAACTGTTCTTAACCTGAAGCACCACTTTAGCTAATGGGGCCTCCTGCTCCCACTGCGCCGCCGGAGCATGATTTCTGTTCTCATCCTGAAGCAAAGTTCTTAACCTGAAGCACTATTTCTGGGTTAGCGAAGTCTGTAACCTGAAGCGTATGTAACCTGAAGCATATGTAACCTGAGGTACCACTGTACATATACAAACTCTATTAAAATCACACAAATAATTCCAATAAAAATAGCCTGGCACCAGCCCTTTCATGATAGGCAGTCAGTTCCCCAAAGCCTGTTGGAACAAAAAAAAATTAGCTGGAACAAGAAGAGAGCCAGTCGAGCTTCTCTCAGGAGGGAGTGCCAAAATCTGTGAGGAGTAAAACAATCACACTATTAATATTAATCATCATCATCACACTAGTCATATGAAAGAAGATGTAAGTTAGATGAATTGGCCTTTGCTGCTACCTTTGTGTGGTAGAACATTATGTTGCCCGATCACAGCTATGCTAAAACCTCAGATTTCTCAGTTGTTTTTCTATGGGGAGTGGGGAACCCATCTTTCTCCTCTTGGGGAAAAAAGGAAGTTGAGCCCTGTGATTGAGTCTAACCATGAAGGCTGTGGTCTCCATCCCAGCAACCACCACTTCCAGACTAGACAGTTATATGGAAGCCTGCCCTAGTGTGCTCTGTCCTATCTCCCAACCATTCAATCTTGACTTGCACATTGTTGTTACTGTTTTTGCTGGAGTTTTCAACTGGGAATCCTCCCACACTGGGCATCTGCGACAGGAATAAAGACAGCAGGATGGTGAGCAGAGAACAGCCAGCCTAGAATAGCAAGTCTGTAACTATATGAATGGCATGAACATATTTTGTTTGACTCACCTGCCATGCTTGAAATGTTAATAAGCCTTCCTTTGGACTTGCGGAGCAATGGCAAGAATGCTTTTGACAGTTCAACGGGACCGAAGAAATTGACATCCATGCACTGCTTGTAAGATTGCATAGGGAGCAGTTCGCCATCTCCCGGGAGACCCAGGACCCCAGCATTGTTGATGACACCCCAGAGATCTGGCAAGGAAGAAGGAAACAAGGCTATACAAATCTGACAATTTCAGCTCCTCTCACTTTCTCATTTTTTCCATTCTTCGGTTCAGCACCTTTGTTCGAGATTTTTCTAAAAAAAAAAAGTCATCATGAGAATTCATCAGGATTTTAATTCAAATTTCTCATAATATACAAATTTTTGCACACATTCCTGCCTAATATATACATTTTTTTGCAACACAATTTCCAGTAATGCAATGCATTTTTTTGCAAGGAGGTTTAACTAATACATGACTTTTATGCCTATTGTACCCTACTGTATGCATTATTATATACATTAGTTGGCTTACATGGCTGGAGACCTACATTGAAAAACGGAAAAATGCAAATTTCAAAAGATGGCTGTGGTACCATTTGCATGTTGGTTTGGAAAGTGCCAAGCAACTAATGTCTATAAAATACATTAGTGGAAAGTCTCCATAAAACACAAAAATTAATGAGAATATCATACAAGAATCCAGGGATATTTTTTTCAGCTGGAGCTCAGCTCTGGCAACTCTTAGGTGGGTGCCATTGCCATTCTAAGAGAACAAAGGAAAAGTTCATGGTGAGCTCTGGCACCTCTTTTTTCTAGAAAAACAGCACTGAATACAGGGATATGGCTTTGCAAAAATGTGTATATCAGGCAGAACTGCATACCAGGATGTGTATATAGTGAACAATTTGCACTAAAATGCTTGTAAATTTCCATGAAGACTTAAAAAAACCCCTCAGAGAAACCAAAATGGACTGATCAATCCATCCCTCATGCTGAATTGTCTCCAAATATGCAGCAGATATATGTGCTAATTAACAGCAGCCTTTGACCCAAAGATGTTGAAATGTCAGTATCTGAGAACATCTTGACATACAGCAATCCATTTGCTAGTTGATTTGACAACATCTGACTGCAGACGGGAGGAAGCAACAGGCAGCTGGTATCATTATTTAATTTCTATGCTGCTCATAGGTTTTTGCATGGTTTATGCTGAAATAGACTTCTGTGCGGTTTACAACGTATAACAACCCCTTGCACAGACTTTAAAATACAAGCATCCATTATTAAAGTACAGTGGTACCTTGGGTTAAGAGCTTAATTCATTCTGGAGGTCCGTTCTTAACCTGAAACTGTTGTTAACCTGAGATACCGCTTTAGCTAATGGGGCCTCCCACTGCCGCCGCACGATTTCTGTTCTCATCCTGAAGCAAAGTTCTTAACCCGAGGTACTATTTCTGGGTTAGCGGAGTCTGTAACCTGAAGCGTCTGTAACCCGAGGTACCACTGTATTACTAATTACTGTGTTGCTTTTATAGGATTCTTTTATTGTTAATTTTAATTGAGGGCACTTTTTATGTTTTAGTGGGACTGTTTCATGGTGCATTCTAATAATAGATGCTTGTATTTTAAAGTCTGTGCAAGGGGCTTTTATGTATTTTATATAATACGCAATGCATTTGTGTGTGTAATTTTCATGAATCTATGTATTTTTATGGACACTTTAGCCCAGCATGTGCTTTTTGTGTGTGCATTACATGGCTGCAGAAATACAGTATACTGCAAAGTGCAGAAGAAAGGTAAATTTCAAAGGTTGGCTGTGCTTTGGTTACATATTGTGAATTATGTTGGCTCAGCTTTCAGATAATAATAAGAGCCTGCTGGACCAAGTCAATGGCCTACATGGTCCAGCATCCGTTTCTCACAGTGGCCAACCAGATGCCTCTGGGAAAGGAGAAAGCAGGATCTGAGCACAAGAGCAGCCCTCTCCCCTCCTGCCGTTTCCAGCAATTGGTATTCAGAACCATTGCAGAAACTAGCCATCGCTGATAGCCATCAAGAGCGCTCTTCTCCATGAATTTGTTGAATTCTCTTTTAAAGCCATCTAGGTTGGTGACCCTCACTGCCTCCTGTGCTGAAAAAGTACTTTCTTTTATCTGCCATCAATCTTCCAACATTCAGCGTCATTGTATGTTCATGTATTCCAAATGCAAACAGCATCCAATTTCTGCACCAAGTGGCATGTCAGATTTCGATACTGAAATAGGAGTGTTGGAATCCTGAGGCCTAGATCAACCAAGACAACATTTGAAACTTTGCAAAACGTCATTTCAGATCACAAGCAACACCCACGAGGACTGTGTACACTCCCTTCACAGAACATACCTGCACCTTGCAACTTCCTTCTTACTTCAAGGTACGCTTCTTTAATCTGCACCGAATTGGTGATGTCTAGTTGCAGAACAAAAAGTCTATCTGAGCAGGACTGCCTCAGTTTTTCTGCACCAGGCCCTCTCTCATTCAGAACGGTGGCAAACACGGTGAATCCTAAACGGTCAAGGTACTTCGCCAATGCATGTCCAATGCCACTATCGCTTCCTGTAAAAGATTACTTCTTCTCTTTATTTATGCTACTCATGGCCTTGACTTATAACCATCACAATTCTCAAAGAAGGATGCAATTATTAAAATAAACACAATCAATAAAGGAACGAAACTGCAAAGTAAGCCACAAGCTAAATATTTGAGCTGGCAGTAGTACAGCACTCATTTATGTTTCTAACACAGCAGACAACGAGGCTGTATTTGTGTGTGTGAGTGAGTAAGAGAGCAAGCAAGCAAGCGCAGTGGAGGTATAAGAAACCTTTTCCATGCCAAGACCTGTTTTCTGTCATGGGGAATGCCCTAGGAGATGCATGCCAAAGGTAGGTGGGGCTAGGGGGGAAATAAGACTGCATTCCAGCCATGCAAAAGCCAATGGTTTCTACACACACAACTCCACACTCATTTCTCCATCCTTCATCCATTCAAGACACAGAAAAGAAAGTACCTTCATGCAGTGCATGATTAAACAATGGAACTCACTCCTGCAGGAGGCAGTGAAAGCTGCCAACTGGGATGTCACTAGAAGGCTATTAGACAAACTCAGGGAGGATAAGGCTATCAAAAACTCATAGCCACAATGGCTACGTTCTACCTCCACTATGAGGAGATCACAGATGGGCAGAGTGCTCTTACACTCATGTCCTGCTTGAGGGCATCATTACACTTCAAAAACAGACTTTTTCCCATTCAGGGCTATGCTATGCTAACATTACTATTGCTTAACATTATTTTAACACAGCACTTTCTGCATTTCTTCACCATTGCTTATGCATCCCCGTGTGACTTGTTTTCAGATTGCTCTGGCCACCAAAGCAGGTACACTGTGCTCAGATGGTATCTGGGAGTCATTCTTTGCATACAGAAAAGGAACAATAAGGCGTAGCTGAGAGCTGATATCTCTAAAATTATGGGAATGTTGATTTGAGCTGCACAGGGAGTTGTGTGCTGGTGAATACCCATATTGTTCTGACTTATAGTAATACTGTTGTTCTGTACTTAAGTGAATGCTCAGTTGGGAAACTGGTTAGTCTCTTCTGATTCCTAGATCCAGCAAGGGTTAAAATCTAACTGAGAAACCCATTCTTGAATTAGCCAGGCAAGGGCCATAAACTCTAAGGGGTTCTAGGTGCTTATCAAATATTTGGTTGCCCTGGAATGAGGAACTGTGGAGACTAGAATTGCCATCTTTGGATGGGCAAAATATGGGACAGGTTGGTCAAAATAAAGGGGTGGGGGGCACATATACTTTCAAGGACACCAAATCCTCCCACCTTTTGTGGAGGGGGGTTCCCTGCATTCGGCCTCTGGCGCTGCTATTCCCCTTGACTCATGTAGATGGGCAGGGGCCAGGGGTAGATGGCTGGCTTCCATGGGTGACGAGCCACAGCTCCAGCCCTTGCCCAGAGGAGAAGGGGGAAGTTGTCAGGTCAGGGCGGTGGAAGGGGCCAAGCGGCGGTGGACCTGCACAATGCTAGACTGGTGGGAGGCAGCTGAGGAGTAGCACCAGTGAAAGGGAACGAAGGAGGGGACATGGGAGGGACAGGAAGTCATTCCCTCCCCCTGATGCAGTCTTGAGTAAAATCCTTCCACTGAACTTGGAATTAGCTTTAGGGGGGAATTCCCTGTTGGTCTCAGTGAGGGATTTCCTCCCAAATGCAAACCCCAGCTTCAGAAAGAGATGTTCCTGAAGGCTGCAACAGGGGAAGAAAATGGTTAAATCTACCCTCTATACTCAGGTGGGAGAATTTAAATTCGCAAAGTGGTGTTGGTGGGGGGAGGATGTGGGCCTGAAGTTATTTTGGGGGTGGGGTAGGGATCAGGAACTCAGTGTAAATGGACAAATGAAATGAGGCACTTTAATAATGATAGGGGGGTTTAAGACGAATAAAAATGTGCAGATATCATCTTGTAAAGCATGAGTAATCTAGAGGGTGGCTTAGATCAGTTTTTAAGCCTATGTCTTCTGAATAAACCACTTGTTCTCATTCTCCCTACTTGTCCCTTCTTGTATTGCATCTGCTTCAACACTGCACAGATCTTGGCTGGGACAATTACGATGGGAACACAGACTGCAGATGTGATTCTATCACTTGTTTGCCTAATTTGGTACACTTAGTCTGAGGAGCGTCTCTCTGGACCTCTCCAACAATCTGCTTTACAGTTGTTAGTGACTCAGTGCCAACCTTTTAAATGAAGAAAGAGAGAGATTTTTTTCCCTGCACCTAACACTCAAAGATGAGCCAGGTGTTGCTGAAACACAGTGTGCCTCAACCTTCCAGCAAAACGCAGAAAACAGGCATGCAAGAGCTCGTAAGTGAACATTGTGTTCTGTCTGCTGGTGTTCCTTGTGAATGACCCTTATTTATTTATTTTAGAAACCATTGATGGATTTTCCTTCTCTTTCCTCTCCCTCCCACCTCACTGGGACCAATGAATAGCAGTGTCCTTTCCTTAACAAGACACCCCACAGGCAAATAAATAACCTGCAACTGGGTGCATAGCGTTTTGTCATTGGAAGCAGTTTTGCCACAATCCATCAAGTCTGATGCACCATTTAAAGATCTGTGTCAAAAATGAAATTGTGCTTTTCCCCACTCTAAGGCTTTGCTTTATCCAAATTTGCAAAAAGTAAACCTAGGTTCTCTGTTAGCTACAGAACCACCAGCTCATTTTGAATAAAAAGCCCAAGTAGAAATTCCCCAACTCCGCCATCGTAACTCAATTCACAGTTCAGACCTCCAGTAATTCTCATGCTGTCTTGATGAATGCTTACTTAAGGAGTGAGAACATACACAGTTCTGTGCTGCTAAGAAGGTAGAAATTTCATATGGCTCCTGATTGGAGCAAACGGCCTGATATTTCTGCACCTGAAAGGCCCCCTGCCTGGAAAAGGATGGAGCAGAGAAATGGATGCTAATAAATAAAAGGGTGCAAGAGAGGATGATGGGGATGAAAGAGAGTCAGAACTGTGCTAATTCAGAGACGACTGAGTAATGTAAAAGATTCTCTCAAGAGCTAATGAAAGCCAAAGTTCTTCCTTCTCCTTACCTGTGATGAGTACTGCTTTGTGGTCCACAGGGAGCAGGGCTTGATCGGATGTGTAAATGCAGAAGAGGAAGCACATCAGCGAGAACAAACTCAAGCCCAGGTAACTTCTCAGCATGGCGAAACACAGGACTCCTGAAGCAAGGAGCAAGAGGAGACCCCAGGAAAAGGGGGTTGCCTTCTCCACACAGTTCTTTTTGGCTCGGTAAAGGATCGTCCCTCCGTAGAGCACCACTGCACCCATGTAGATCAACAGGGAGCTGTCAGCTTCAGAGTGGTGCATGGCAGCGGTCACAGGCAGAAGACAGACAGGACTGCAACATCCAGGCACAGCAGAATAGGACAAAAAGAAAACGACCCCCTAGCAGTCTTCAGAATGCATGCATTGCTATAAGGGGCTGTATCTTCTGTGCGAAGAGGATGAAGGGAGGAGGGGTCAGCTGCAGATGGGGTTGCGAAAGATCTTTAGGGACTTCAAGCAAGGAAGTTGCAAGAGCAACTGTCTCCTGAATGTATGTATGTACATACATACAGATAAGCGTGGGGTGGCTTATCTGAGCTGCTTGCCAAATAGGGCAAAACCCTATGACATTTCCTCTCACCTTTCTTTTTTCTTTGTAATCTTATTCCAAGAAGACTCCACCTTCTAAGGGACACACAGCTTGGGTAATGATTGACAGAGGCAGGAGGATAAGAGTGAACATGAAGCAGCACACCCCAAGGCATTTGACAGCTCTTACATCATTTGCAGGCTTACAGGTGTCACTCTTAAGAGGAAAAGTGGGGGTGGGGAGTGATGGATAGATGTGCATCATTAGTTTAGAGAGTTTCTGTGCTGTCCTTTGATGCTCACCTCTCAACTCTGCTTATTTCACAAATGCAAGAAAGGATGGATTTCACAAATGCAAGAAAGGATGGATTTGTCTCCACATTTTTTTGCAGCAATTTTGAAATTTTTTTTTTGTTAATCCTCATGAAAAAAATGTCATTGGTTTGGTGTGCCTTTCTCCCCAACACGCACATTTCTTAATGCATGTTATCCACACTTTTGCAAGAATTTTCTCTAACGTAATGCACTTCTATAAGTTGTTTTTTTCTTTAATGTATGCAATCTTATGTACATTTCTGGTACACACTGGCTGGCTGGAGAACTGTACTGCAAAATTTGGTGAAGGGTGAATTTTGAAGGAGAAAGATTTCGCATATTGGTTCAAAAATGTGAATTAGATGGTTTCCCATTAAAATACAAAAAACAACAACCCTGGATTTATCCACTATCCTTAATGCAGAGCTGTATCCTACTGAATTCTATGCAGAGTAGTCCCACTGAAATCAATGGAACTATATTAGGCATGTCCATTAATTGCAATGGGTCTGAGGAAAACTATAACTGTATCTAACCTAAAGGGTCTGCTCCTCTACCAACTGGTTCTTAACTGCTACAATGCTGCTTAATTAGCATGGACTGAAATCCTTCAAAGCAATAGTGTTGTTCCTGCAGTCTTCCAGTTGTTGTTGGCCAATGGTCAGGGGATGATGGGAATTGTAGTAATATAAGAGGTAAGGGGCCTCAGGTTCCTGATACCAGGCTATACTTACTGGCAGTGGCTCTCTGGGGAAGGAATGGGGAAACTTTGACATTCCAGGTGCTGCTGAACTATAACTCCCATCAGCCGTAGTAAGCATGGCCAACAATCAGGAGTGATGGGAGTTCTTGTTCAGGAACATCTGATGGGCCAACATTTTCCCATACCTGCTCTCAGGTTTTAGACAAGATTATTTCCCAGTCCTACCTGGAGATGTTGGGACCATGGCAGCTGGAGCTTATACAAGTTGTAGTCCAAAACATCTGGCGAGCACCACGTTGGCTATCCCTGCATTAATATAGGATATATGAATATTACATTGTAGCAGTCAAAAATTAGTGTGCAAGCTAAACCTGCCCTTTCTCCCTGCCTTTAAATTTTAATTATTAGATTCGTATCCCACCTTTTCCATTAAGGAGCTCAAAGTGGCATACGCTGTTCTCTCCCACTCCCAACATCTCTTCTTGGTTAAGGCCAAGAAACGGTGACCAGCCCAATGTCAGCCAGTGAGTTTCATGGCTGAGTGAAGATTTGAACCTGGGTCTCCCAGGTCCTAGTCTAGTACTCTGGCCATTACACCACACTGGATCTCAGTGTTCCCAAGACCATCAGGATCACTGATGGTGATGACTTCCCCTATGCCTGCCTTATGGAATAAACTCAAGCCTGTGGGTGTTTGCTGATTATTGGGAATGAGGTCTGGAGGTCCGGCTCTTCTCCTAGACATCCACACACTGATCATGGGCTTATAAGAAACGCTTGCAATGGAGCAGTAGTGGAGAAAAAGGACAGAGAGACACCCTCCCCTGTTCTATCAGATTACTGGAATCCAATGGAGCCATCCAATAAAGCTGAATGGGGGGATATTCAAGATGGACAAAATGAAGTATCTCTTCACACAGGCTATACTCACACCATACATTTAAACAGTCTTGGCTCCCCACAAAGAATTCTGGGAACTGGAGTTTTTAAGGGTTTTGAGAGTTATTAGGAGGCCTCTATTCCCCTCCCAGAGCTACAGTTCCCAAAGTTCACTGGGAAGGGGGATTGGTTGTTGAAACCACTCTGAGAACCAGTTGTCTGTCTTATTTACAACCAGTCAGGTGGTGGGTCTGCCTGGCATTGGTTCTGGCGCCATCTGCCTGCCTTGTGCCCTACCAGTCTCAGTGTTCACCAGCCAACACTGAAGACAATATTTTGTTCACTTGCAGCTGCAGTTCTCTGGGGTTTCTTATAGATATCTTTCCCAGCCTTACCTGAAGATGCCAAGGATGAAACCTGAGATGGTCTGCATCCTCCAGCCCTAAAGATCCAGAGGCTTCTCTCCTTCTGGAAAGCAGATCCCCAGGTAAGCACAGTTGCAGAGACTTCAGATGACACAAATAAAGCTCTCACAGCTTTGTTCTGGTGGCAGAGAAGAGGAGACAAAGGGCACTTTCCCATGTCTTTGGTCTTTGACTGTGAACATCTTTGTTCTGTTTCTGTGCGTCAACATTCGGTTTACCTATTTAAATGACACAGACGAGTTTACAAGAAAGCAACAGTCCGTTCAGGGAACAATGAAGACAAAAGCTCTTGACGTCTCCATTTCTCAAGCTTTTGAAATGGGAAGTAACTGTAGCAGAGAAATAGCTGGAATAATACCTCCAGAGCACAGTTCCTGCTTTTCTGGGGCTATAAAAAGAGAACAAACTTTGGGGCTGTGGTAGAAACTCCTCCAAAAGCTCAGGCAGAAACTAGCAGCCTTGGAATCAGTCCAAAGGCGTCACCAATAGCTCTAATTATCAACTATAATCTGAAAATATGGCATAGGGGTGGAAATGCAGAGCCATATTGATACACAAGGTTGAGTATTAGTGAGCTCAGGAACAGAATGGATGAGTCTTGGCCAATTTCGATATCTCTCAATTTCTTCCATTCCTCGGCATTTTAGTGGACATTTCCCCATATCTATCTATCATCTATCTATCTATCTATCTATCTATCTATGCAAGCAATTTACCCAAATATAATATTTTTGTTTACTGTTTTCACAAATGTATGCCTCTTTTGAAGACAGGAGGGCCTGGCGTGTTCTGGTCCATGGGGTCACGAAGAAGAGTTGGACATGACTAAACGACTAAACAACAACAACAACAATGACTCTTTTATATACACTTTCCACAAGATACAAGTTTTTGTTTTGTTGTTTTTTTTGCTTGTAGACAACCATTGTGGAATTTATAGAAATGTCTGTTTTGAAGGATAACTGTAGGTTTGTTGTTTCAGTAAACTCAGTTTCGGTTTCAGTTCATAAGTTTATTGTTCTATCTGAAGGCTATGACATATTTGTAGCAATAGTATTAATAAAACAATACAGAACATGCATCCATTATTTAAGCCACCACCCATGATGTAACAGTGAGGAGATGCCAGAGACACCAACAAGCTTAAACCTAACTTGACTTCAAATTAAACCTCCAAATAACCACAACTTACTGTGGATTTACCTATCTCCTTTTTCCTGACCCCCCCCATCCCGTGCTTTTTGCAGCCAGTGCACAGAGGACCACTCTCTGTGTTACAATGCTATTATTGTCAAAGAAACCAAACCACCTCTGTGTACCTGTTTGCTTGTGAGAACATAGGTTTCAGAAAGCCATCTCTTGGGTCTCTATATAAGGGGCAGGCTAACAGATATGAGTGATGCCTTCCACCTGAGGTTGACCACAAATACAAAGTCAGTCTGTGTATGGGCACTTGATCCAGCAGGCATCTGACACTGATCAGAAAGTATGGAGTGGCATCCTTTAATTATCTTGTCCACAAGGCTAGAAGTGGACTGGCATAGCAGGATCATAATATCTGATCTCCTGCCCCACCCCACCCCAATGAAGAGAAAAGGATGGAAATTAGGCAAATGTTAACACAAATGATTTAAGACATGCAAACTGACAAAACGTAAAGTTGGAAAGATCCCCATATAATATAAATGAAAAAATCCACTTGGCAATCAGAAGTGTTTTGGGTCAAAAAAGTTCCTTGTAACTTTTGTACCACCAGTGCATATAAAGCTTCTTTCTCCACTCTAACAAACTTGACTAACTTTGAGATTGTTGAACTGGCTCTCCAGCAAATCCACTAGACAGAATGTCTCTTGTAAGATTATTGCTTGTCATTTGCAGTTTAATTATACTGTCAATAAAATAATACGCTGCCTAAAACATGCTTTTAACTGATGAGCTTTGTAGCTTAGTGGTTACAGGGAACCCTAAAAGTGCTCTGTAACCATGATAAGTCTGTATTATAGGTACAATAGGCCATACTGGAGCTCCTGAAGGCCCCTGTACGTTCTGAAGAAAAATTTTGGCAGAGGCCTTTCCTTGGGACACAATGTATAGCAGAACTGGCTCTTGGCTCAGTTTTCTTCCTGCAGTACTGTGAGAAATGACATCTTTTTCCTAGTTTACACCAAGTGCATCTAATTCCACCTGCCAACTATTGGGAGGTATGATCTTATTCTCTGCCAAAATTAGGGCAGAAGCAGCCTCGGGGCCTACAATACCGAGTTATTTGACAGTGAAACATTTTCTACTCCATTCTAGCGCTGCATGAAGGGTGTTTAGCAATTCCTCCTGGGCTTGCGTCAGGCTGGCTCAGAAAATAGCACAAGCTGTTTCTGAGCTTTGGAAATGGCTCGGCTAATTTCACGCACTTATTTGACTTCAGAAGTAACCTACTGTCACCCTTTGGCAACACCCCCCCCCCCCGGTCTCTCCCTGTCCCCCACCTCTTTGAATTAGCTTTCCAGGCGAATTTTTCCATGGATGGTGGGGGCCGCAGTGGCACTCTAGAGGTCTTCCAGGTTAATTTTTTTTTTTTTTTTTTAAGAAGATTGGTGGTCACCCATTGAGGTTCTCTGGCATGTTACATCAGCCTCAT